CTCTCTCTCTCTCTCTCTCTCTCTCTCTCTCTCTCTCTCTCTCTCTCAAATGTAAGTTTGCTTCATTGGCAAGATCACAATAAGGAAAGAAGAACATTGTGTGGGGTTGGGCACCCAAACATTACACCACTATTGTGCTTTCCGCAAGAGTTTTAGATTTGGCTGCATGAATTTGTCGGTTACAATGTTTTTTTGTTATTTCATAATAATTATCTAAAAATGTTTCAAAACTTTCCTGGGTGGAAATAACTCTAATTTTTCAGGTAAAATAAAGACACATTTCCGAGTTTAGTTAATATGTTTGGGCTGAGTTGTCATTCACCGATTATTGGACACTTTACTTGTCTTATATGCTGATTTGCAAACTGTAGAGAGATTGCACTTTTTTCCAAGTTCAGCTGATCTACACTAGTTATTTTCATGTATCTTTAATTTATTATTTGGTGGTTTATCAATTCAACACTGTCTGTACTTTGCCTATAATTAGTGCCAAATTACACAGTTCTCTCAAGGAATTTTCCAAGTACATTTTTAGGAATATATGGACCCCATTCAGCCACAAGAGTATTAGTGAGCTACTGATGTTGGACAATAGGACGTGGCTCGCAGACAGTGTTTCACTAGACCTTTTTCACAATAGACATTTTCAACAGCAGGAAAAAAACAGATGTAACTGAAAACATTAATGATGGCTATGTTGCATTTAGGGGTTTGAGTTTCATGGCCCTGCTATTATTGCAGGCTGGTTCACTTAAAAAGCTTCCTGGGATGCTTAAAGCAGCAATCAATGTTTATATAATAACAGTGGATCAAATAATTATATTTACTGAGAAAGGTGCTGCTTGTAGTGAAAAACCACACAGCTAATTATTACCCAACTCTGCAGTTCCTCTTAGCTCGAAGGAATGTTTTAGCCTTTTTTGGCTAATTGTTTTGGTTTTGCAGCCACACCTTTGAAACTAGGTCCAGCATCAAACCACAGACAAAGTTATCAACTATAGCTGCTGAACATATTGCTGCATTGAGTAATGAAAGAGCAGATATGAAAGATTTGGAGGAGAGCAAAAGAGAGTTAAAAGGAAAGTAAATATTGAACTTACATTCATCGGGTTGCTTGAAACATGACGCCAATAAACGCCAAAGTTTCAGAGGTGTTGGACGGGGTTGTGGGCAGGCCAGTCAAGATCTTTCACATCAAACTCAGAAAACCATTTGTGGATTTTCCTTTCTTTATGTAGGCGTTGTCATGTTGAAACAGGAAAGGGCCTTCCCCAAACTGTCGCTGCAAAGCTGGAAGGACACTATTGTGTAAATAGCCTTGTCTGCTGACTGTATGCAATGAATATTTCTCTTAGGGGGCCTGTCCAAAAACATAAAACACAGCCTCATGCCACAAGTATAGGAAGCTATGTGAACAGGGGTGTCCCTATACATTTGGCAATGTAGTTTAAGTACATCATTAGAAACTTTGTAAGACAACAAGTGCATGTGGTACACATGATGAAGTAAAAGATGTTGATTAGTCAAAAACATGAATAAATCAAAAGGTCTCACTTCTTTCTCTCCATCTTGTTCTTAGTACTATATAACCGGAGCTGTGACAAGATTCTTCAGACCAGAGCCCACTAACATCTCCAGCAACGACACAAACTCCATCCAGGAAACCTCAGTTGACAGCGAGCCCGCTAACCTTGGTCCCCCAGAGGGTGAGGCTAGCGGAAGGGGGGTCGATGAGGAACAGCCTCTTGCGACAGCCTCTCTGCTGAGCTCTTCTAGGCCACTTGTTGCCTGGGAACTTTGCACCACAGACATCGACTTAGGAGCTGATGAAGAAAGCATGCAATACAAAACCCAGCTGAGCGAAGGCAGCCAGAGAAAAGCATCTGAGAAAGGTGAGAACACGAGAGAGGAACAGTGCCCCCAAGTGGGAAATGATGATGCAGGGCTGCTGGTCGCAAAAGATGACAAACAAGAAGAAAACGGAGATCAAAAATTGAGTACTGGCGGGAGAGATGAGACGCCGGATAATAGTGCGTTTGAAGAGCATGCAAACACCAGGTCACTAAAACTCACAGGTGATGCAATGAGTGAAGACATGGAGGAAAGTGGGAGAAAAGCTGGTGCTGAGGAGGAGACTAAGAGGGCAATGACACCGGAGGATCCTCAAAACATGGGTGAAACCATGAGAAACGTAAAGGAAGCAGAAAATGAAATGCAGCGTGAAGATGAAAAAGATTTACAGGCCGAAGACGTTGAGGTAAAATTGCATCCGATCACAGATTTGAGTGTAGAAGAAGAAGATAACGTGCACATAGAAGAGGCAAAGATGCAGAAGAACGAGGCAGATTCAACGGTGACGCAAGAGGAAGTGGAAAATGGTGATGGTGTACCAGAGCTGGCCTGTGAAAACAAGAACAAGTCTGATGAGGGAGCAAAGCAATATAAAAGTCAGCTGTCCGTCTGTGAGGAGTCGTCAGATGACGACAGAGATTTCAAGGGAGACCCAGGCTTTACTTCACAGCATGTTGAATTACAAATGGCCTACGACAAAAGTGGCATTGAGTCTGAGGATCAGTCGTTTGTTGTCGAGCAAGAGCATGTGATGGCTCATAGAAGTGAGAGTGATAATGTTGAGGATGCAGAGGAGGAGGAGGAGGAGGAGGAGGA